GTACCGTATACATATGAGCTATAGTCTAAACTCCTAGTATCCCCCTTAATAACCCCTATAATACTCCCATATATAATCCCCTATACAACCCCCTTTAAGGAGTTTAGATTATGGCTCATATGGATAGGTTTTTGGACTTTCAATTGAAGTCCAAGTTCAAAGCCGGGGGCCACAAGGGAGCCCAGCATCCCTACGCGACTGCATGCTATAAAACTTCACTACAACCATCTCTACTTCCTCTCGCAGAATATANNCCCTTAAGCAGATCGAATATGGAATTGCCTAAGATCATAATAAGATCCCCATATACCTCATATTCTATCTACTTAAGGGGGACTATATTCTGAAACTGTGAATCTGGGCTTCCCCAGCAGCCCTACGCAGATCGACGGATTTTCTGCCATGGCGGTGCGTAGTCTCCCTTTGTGTACCACCATCCTGGGTTGCTGTTAAGGAACTTAAATTAAGTTACTATATTGGGGAAACCCTATTATTTACTATATATACCCATTTTGGTAACCCTAAACCCTAAACCCTACATACCCATTATGGTAACTTAATTTAAGTTCCTTAACAGCAACCCAGCATCCGTAGACGGAGTAGCGGAATCGATCGCTGGTCAGCACAGGGCTCACGCGATGGCAGCGAGGCACCAGGAAACATACAGCTTCCTTAGCATTGAAACCCCTAAGATGGGGGCTTCCAAAGAACTATGGGTCCTTTGTGGGTTTAGGGATATTCTTAATGCATGTTGCGCGGACCCTTCAAAATTCTTGGGCTCCATAGGGTTCAGAACAGCATTCAGAAGAGCCTCTACCTAGCTCATCCTTCCGTATGGACCAAGCTTCATTGAACGCCGGCACGATCTCTGCGCCTCCGCCAACAGACACAGGTTCGTCATCAACGAAAATTCCTCCATCCGCTCGCGTCCAGTTCTTGGTTAGGTACCTTACTCCTGATTCCTCTAAGGACCAAAAAGAATAACATCTTCGCAGAACCTAATAGTTATGGGCTTCCACCCTTAAAGTATATGGAAGACACATTACCCATATCTATGATAAGCTAGTTCAAGTCCCTTAACAGCAACTCTTCACCCAGGATACCAGACGAGCGCAACTCGACGCGAGTACTCTGCCGGGTCATCCCAGAAGGCTGCATAGGTGCCCTCATCCGTGTGAGTGTCCTGGGTCCACGATTGCCCAGATTTTAGGCTTGAGGGTCTAGGGCTGTTAGAGCTTTTTGGGTTTAGGGGGCTACTTGGAGGGACAGGGGGACTTAGTAAGTAGGTTAATAGCCCCTATAACCCATAGAGTAACCCCAATTATCCTGATTTTATTAACCTACTTACAAAGTCCTCATGGCCCTCCAAGTAGGGTTTAGGAGCTTAGCTCTCATGTGTATGTGCACCCTGGGTCCAGCAAGGCGCCAAGAAAGAATAATGTCATTGCTACTCCGCTCCTTGGGCCACACCGTTCGTAAACATGTACGACTTAATGTAGATCCCTGATTAATAAACCTGCTCCCCTTAATAGGGATTATAATAGGGATCCTAATATTAAGGCCCTTAAAAGGAAGGGATTTATGAGTCAGTGGTCTACATTACGTGAGAGCTTCCCAAACGGAGGAAGGCCTACCCTAAATTCTGAAGCCCTCATCTACTCACACCCAAGAAACTGTTGGATCTCCTGACACCCTTCCGCCCAGCAAAATCCACTTGGGGGTTCCCATCAATTAGGGGTACCTTTTCGGTGGTCCCCATAGTAAGGATTACAATACTGCCAGTCCCCCCCAAGCCTACTTCGAACCCTAAATCCTAAAGCCTAAACCCTAAACCCTGAACCCTAAACCCTAAACCCGAATCCAGTGTCGATGAAGTCCGAAGGGCCATAGCGGCCAAAGCGAAATTCGGCCCTCGTCGGCACCGATTGGAGCGCTGGAAGCAGATCACCAAGCACCTCACGGCCCGGTTCATCAACTATAGCCCAACCCTAAACCCTAGACCCTGAGCCCTAACCCTGTACGGGGGATACATGACGGGGGTTCAGGATCTAAGGAATCTTCAGGTTGATGCGGGATTGTCTCTCCATACACGTCGATTGCACAAGAAACTCCAATTTGTTCATGCAAGCCGTATGTGAGAGTACCCGCCTGGCAGCTCCACAATAGCTTGGATTAGTTGGGCCTCCGGCTACGCCATCTGGAGCTTAGGGTTTAGGTTGGAGCTTTCCTTTCCTTTTGATGCAGATGCTTGGGACGGAGCGCCTCCTGCAGGGCTGCAAAGGCTCCACCAGTCTCATTCCTGGGTCTGGGCCACATCCTAAACCCTTAACCCGATAGGTTTAGGGTTTAGGGTTTCAGGGTCTACTGTAGAGTTTAGGGCTTCGCGCTTTGGGTTTAGACCTAAACCTTAAGACCTCAACCTTCCCAAACCCTACACCTTAAACGCTTCATTACGGGAAGGGCTCTGGTCCCCAGCAGTTGGGAGTTTCTCAAAACAAGCCCTGCATCATCCGTCAGGGGAACATTAAACCAGAACCTGCTGCCTTCGTAGTGTCCGCAAGAGTAGTCTTCCACTACATGAGCTATAGTCTAAACTCCTTTTTAAGGGGGCTTAAATAGGGGATTATATAGGGGACTACTATAGGGCTTATTAAGGGGGATACTAGGAGTTTAGACTATTGCTCATATTGGGTTCCACTACTATTGTTCAACTCAAGGCGGGTTGCTACTTTTTCGGAACCTCTTCATCGCCACGAGCCCATGAGCCCCAGAGCATTACATCCCGTCCCAAGACAGGTATGAACCCTGGGCGCTAAACGCCTGCAGAGTCTGAAAACTCAAGTGGTCCGATGAGTGATTTGCTATACGATTGTCAACGGCCTATATCTTTGGGAGAATACTTCAACCAAACGAAATAAACCCTGTTCAGGGAACATCAACCAAAAAAAACACGACCTACGATGTTCCCCATACTTCCCACAAGCACCCAAACTAAAATCAAAAATTGTAAGCCCTCAACTCTTGATTAACCAAAAGACTAACTTCCGAAACCCTGCACCAGCAAATTCAAATCCTGAACCCCCCCAAAGCCCTGAACCCCCCTAGGGCTTAGGGTTTAGGGTTTAGGCCCTTTCCAACGCACTTTGGGGCCCAGATTCAGCCCCCGGTATCGGAACTGGTGAATGGCATCGTCTTCCTCCACCGGACTTGTACGCCGCCATTCCTCCAAGCCTTGTGCCAGGGCCAGGGCCTCCTGCAAAGCAGAAAAGCAGAACAGTACTTAAGGCTACTGGTTTTGGATTTAGGGTTTAGGGCTTCGGGTATGGTATAGGAATATATTTTATAAGGATTATACAGGGCTTATCCTCACTTTTCTCCCTAGGGACCACCCATAAGTTGAGACTGTTGGAGTTTAGGGATGCGTGTCTAGGGCAAGTTTGCAAGCCATTCATCCGTCTAAACCTGAAATCCTAAATCCCAAGCCCCTAACCTAAACCCTAAACCCGAAACTTCTCACCCTACGGCCTAAAGCCTAGCCCTGAATACTCCTATCCCCTCAACCTTGGTTGGCTGAAAAACATTAATAGGGTTTAGGGATTAGGGTATAGGGTTTAGGGTATAGGGTCCTCATGAAACTGATAAGGGAAAGTATCTTTAAAACATTAATAGTATATAGGGTATTCAAAAAACCAGTAGGGGAACTAAAACATTCATACATAGTGATATATAAGGTCCTCATGAAACCAAAAGGGAAATGTTTAAAACATTCGTTCATAGTCATATATAAGGTCCTTCTGAAACCAATAAGGGGAAAATAATCAGAACATTAATAGTATGTAGGGTCCTCATGAAACCAAAAGGGAAAAACCCAAATATCCCAAAAAAAAGCCAACCCAAAGCAACCTCACACTCTGAACATCCTGGGTTTAAGGTTTAGAATTTCGGGTTTAGGGTTTAGGTTTAGGGTTTGGGCTTAGGGCTTAGGATTTAGGGCTTAGGGCTTAGGTTTTAGGGTTTGTCCTCCGCCACAGGAGTCGGCAGGAAGTCCCGTATGCGCACAAGGCGCCAGCAGGCAAGGTCCGGGACGATCTCCTCCCTCTTCTCCTCCATATGGGAGGTTTCACGAACAAAAATGGGCCCACGGAACACCTGAGTAGCATTTTTTTGGTGGTTGAACCTAGTAAGCTTGTATTCCTTATATAAAATAATATACCCCAAAAGGAGGTTATTTACTCTAGATCGGGTACCCTAGTATCCCCAAATTAAATACTACTCACCTGGGGAAATATGGGCTCTGAGGAGATACAGGAGTCCAGCATCCTGGATTGTAGTAGGTGTGTGTTGAACACTTAAATTGCCAGTATTTCAGAATTAATACAGGGTGTCCAAAGTTTTGATTCATACCTACCTAGAACCCCTAAAGGATCCAAAAAATGGAACCTCCCAAAATGACCCCCATTACTAGATTTGGGGAACGTAGGGGATTATTAAGGGGTTCCATTTTTTGGATCCTTTAAGGGGTCTGGGTATCGGCTCTCTGTGAAGTCTAGTTTAGGTCACGTCACCCGGGTCATCTCCGGTCTAGTCAATTTCCGTTCCTCGCTGGCCATAAACACTAAGCCCTGTCGCTTCATTCGAGAGGTTGAAGCTGTTAAAAACGGCGTAAACCACACAAAACACCCAACTAATGCTGCTTTAACTGGCTCACTTGTTTTAACATATTCATGTGTGTACAGTTGCTTTCATACATACATCTGCAATCAATTGGGGTTGAGGCAAATGGACCAGTAAGGACATAGGACCAAAGCCCTGTACGGTTGGAACATTTTAGGGGAAATGCTACGGTTCACACACCCTATAAATCCTGGAGCCCGTTAGTCTAAAACCCCATCATCTCCTCCATCCAGGATTGCACTGCGGCTTTGTCTGCAAGCCACTCAGCCAGAGCTCCCGAGCCCCCATGCCTGGCAGAGGATTGGTTGAGGGTTTAGGGTTGAGGGTTGGGGGTTTAAGAGTGTTTCAGAATTCAGGGCCTCGTGGGTCCTTCTTTGCCTTCGCATAAGGATCCCAGTCTCTGAGGTGTACAGCAAAAAAACCATACTGTATTGAGAAGCACCAAATAAATTCTGCGCCTGATGCAGAATGTCTATAATTCTGACAGCTGTTCTCATGACGTTTGTTGCTCCTATTGCTTGAGATGATGTAGCACAACCACTCGTTCTATTATGCTCTCGTAGCTGTGGCGAAAACATTCTCGCGTAGACCTTCACTACCCGAGCAACTCACGCCAATATACCATAGTAGTTTCCATGTTTTTCATTATCCCTAGATAAACTTGTAAGTCACCGGTCCCTCAAATCCACCAAGTACCTTCTTGAACACATAGCCAAGGCCACGAAGCCTACCAGCCAATGAAAGCAAGTTCAATCATGCATGGTATTAGTATCGCCTGGACTGCTTAAAAAGGCCGCTCTACAGGGTTTAGGGCTAAGGTATTGGGGTTTAGGATTTAGGGTTTAGGCCTTATCTTAGTATATGAGGAAAGCAGGTTATCAGCATCTGGGCGAATTATCATACAGGGACTAATCCTCTGGGTTAGTACCTAGAAAAGAACCATAGTTTTGACAACCCTCCATATAAACTCGCCCGGAGGGGCACAATAACCCTGCGGGGCGTTTTGGGTTTTCATGGGTTGCAACCTAGGCCCCAAATACACAGTAATGGGTGTTCTCTGCATCAAGGTCACCTAGATACCCCCAAAAATGATATGTCTTTGCTGCGAGGTTGTCCGTTAAGTAGAAACCCAGAATCTTATCATGGGAGTCTGTCAAAGTAACCCCTGTAGAATACTTAACGGGAATGGCCATAATTCCCCATCTATCCCGGGTCGGTAAGGGCCCCTATCTCGAGAAGCGACCGCATGCTTTTGCAAAGCCCCGGCCGGAGTTTGAGTGCAGCAAAAGCGAAGGCGCTCCGCGCTGCAAAAGCCAAGACGAGGGCGGTTGCCAGCACCTGGCTTGCCGGCTCGTGGTTGGGAATGGAAGAGAATGAAGAGGAACAGAAATTGGAAATTACTGTAGCGTTTAAAGGTATGTAGGGTGGTTGGAATGAAGGGAGCTGCCAGCATTTGAGGGTTCTCTCGTTGGTGGGTCTACATAACCGAAGGGAGGCTATGATCTTACTGTATCTTGGCGTACAGTACGCCATCGAACATACTACTCCTGGGTAGTTCTCCCAAAAGCAGGGAGGTCCTCAGAAAAGCCAAAACACGTAGGAACCTCCCCTGAAGGACCCGCAAAAAGGATCAACTAAGGAACCCTCCCATGCATTCTGCTCTTACGAGGGTGATCCTTGCTGCGCAAATCAAATTCAGAGTGTGGACTTGCATGGTTGGGACAGGTCGGCCGTATTGCCCGCGGGTCCAAACGAAGCTCTCAGGCTTCGTGTATTTTTCTTGAGAAGCTCAACATCCTGTGCTGACTGATTCATCTTCACGATCACCCTGTTGAAAGAGTCTCTGTATGGACCATTGCTTCGATGGGAGATGCGTGTTGTCAGTGGGAAGGGGATCTTATTAAGGGTACGGCCCCCACCCTGTAACAGTCTATATACTAGGGGTAATATTAAGGAGTATGTATACATGTATATATATATATACATGTGTACACACACACAATCCCTAGACCCTAAACCCAAACCTGGACCCTAGATTTCAAACATTATCCAACTTTGACAAACTGTAGCAGAGTTGGCTAAGATGCCTTGCGTCTCCGCCAGCGGCCGCGCATCGGGGAGGAAGCTCTGCAGCTAGGGCTGAACCCGATCCCCAAGACTGGGTTTAGGAGTTTAGGGTTTAGGGGTTTAGGGTTCAGGGGGTTTAGGGTTTAGGGGGTTTAGGGGGTTAGGGGTTCAGGAGTTTAGGGTTTAGGGGTTTAGGGTTTAGGGGGTTTAGGGTTTAGGGTTTAGGGGTTTGGGGGGTTAGGGTTTTAGGGTTTTAGGGTTTTGGGTTAGGAGTTTAGGGTTCTTTTGCAGGGAGTTGAGGCTGGAAGGGCCTTTAGAGGCCCCCTTAAGTAGATAGAATATGCGGTATATGGGGGATCTTCTTATAATATACCCTAAGCCATATTCTATCTACTTAAGGGGGGACTGGGAGCTTAGAGCTTTTGAGTTTGGTGTTCAGACTTAAAGGATTCTGGTGTTGGAGAGTGTCTTGGTGCAGAAGGGCTACAAGATGGGGATGGAGATGCTGAAAAGCAGTCTTTCTAGGGATCCATTCCTTGCGATGCACGCGAGGTGCTTTGAGCCGTCAAGTCGTCTGCCAGCTGGTCACTTAAGGCCACAGAACTCAGAATTTTCTGACGAGAAGATGATTAACTTCTCACAAGGCGTACATAGGGCTTGATGACAAAACCAGGACACAAGGGGGCTATGTAAGGCTTTTCAACTTACCCACCTGGAAAACCCTTAGACACATCAAGCAGGTCTGCACAACCGCTTGCAACTTTGCGTTGACAGTGCTGATTTCCCAGCCTTTCATACATGTAGCCCTTTTTACCCCTCGAAGCTCGCTCTTGGAGAACAATGCCACGTTGATTCCTAGAAGGGGAAATCAATTATGAGAGTACCAGTGGAAGCAAATGGTTAGCGGACTTCCTCCGACTGCAGCACATCTACCCCCAAAACACGCAGGAAGACTACTCTTGAGGGTATGCTGGGGCGACCTCGGTTGTGATTTCACCTGCTATTCTACAAAACAACGGAATCGGAAACCCGGCGCCTGAGAGCTAGCTGAGCCGCCACCCCGCTCCTGCGCTGAGGGCTCTTGATGACAAAACAGCCAGAAAATGAAGACGACAGACTCTTGTTGAAAATTCAAGCGTTTCAAGTTCTTTGCAACATTCATCCTTAGCCCAAGCACAAGTCTAAGACATCTACCTTGTCCAAGGTTGAAGTTTGGGGTAGGTATCTGGTCGAGATTTAGCTCAGGGCCAGGGTTCAGAAACATCACCGAAACTGAATTAATGCAGTAGGGGTGCCCATGTACCAACTGACTGCCAAGTGGGACCAAGAGCAACCATCATCTTGAAAATCCTTGCTGTATGGAAAATTCCCCAAAAATAGGGCCCTAGGGACTTTTGAAAAGCGTAAAGGTTTTGAGAGGCTGATGTTTGTGCTCCTTATGATTTCTGTGCGCATTTCTGTACTTTACAAACTGTTGCAGGCCCACCTGCTTATTGACATGCTTGAACCTTCTGCTACACGGAAGAATATTCATTGGCCGCACATAAGATTTCCGTATAGCTACGCAAGATACAGATAACCCGATGATAAACCGTGCGAATGCAACAATGCGACGTCCCCATCTCAGCCGGTCCTGCTGAAAAGGCTGGAAGATCTTCCCAATGGCCTCTTCCGCTATGCCAGCGCCTAAGGTGGAGCTTGCGAGTGAGCCCAACATCTTGATGTTAAAGACGTGCAAATTGAACCGACGGCAAAAAATAATCGGAATTGAATTGGCTCCCTCCAAAAACCATGCCAATATGTCAGGAATTGCATTAGTAGCCCCTTCAGCGTATGAATTTGTGCTCTAATTGCCTCAGGCGCTCCTTTGCTGCCTTACTTGACAATTCCTGCTTTGACTGTCTGCCTACATATGCAAATGTAGCAATCGGGAACATATTGACGGCCTCTGTAGGGCAGCCATGTTTCTCAACCACACCCCTGTACCCTATCCCGAACCCCTACACCTCAACCTCTAAAAAAAGCCAGCACGCCTGTGTCCACCACACTGATCTCCAGCTCATTAGCTTCTGCCAGGTGAGAAAAACCGATCGAGACCTTGATTGGATTACGCAGGCACCAAGGATGCAAAGATGGGCTTATGGGTTTTAGGTTTAGGGGCTTTGGGGGGTTTAGGGGTCAGGTTTTAGAATTACTGATTGGGAGGTGCAAAGATGGCATTCAACGGCTCACTGGAGCAAATGTTTCTCAAATCAGGGATACCCAAGGGACCCCAGGTATGTAGGGAGATTGGAAAGGGGCAAGAGTTGCTTGCAAGGTGCGCGCCTTTTATAAGGCTGCGATGACAAAAGGGGTTGCTGCGCTTGCATGAAGCGGGAGGTGTACATGCATTCTTTTCTAGGAGTTTAGGGTTTAGTGAGCTTGCAAGCTTCGAATTCTTTGCAAGAATCATTCTGATCACGCAGGGAATCTTGAACCCCCTAGGGTCCCCCGACTACTGCAACCCTAAACCCAAAACTCTAAACCCTAAACCAGCAGGATTTAGGCTACTCAAGATGGTGCAGGATTACCTCAATCAACAGCTGCTGAAGCTTTCTACTGCAAGCCCTAAACCTCCAAAAGCCCTAAGCCGCACTTTACTGTAAAGTAGTTTCCATTTTCTTTTCCATTATCTCAATATAACCCCAATATACACTCTATAATCCCTATATAACCCATTATAGTAGTTTCCATTTTCTTTTCCATTATCCCTATATCCATTTTCTTTTTCAGTATCCCTGTGTAGCCCAAATTTTACCCCAATCCCAGGCTACATCTGGTGTCACACTGCCCAGGCAAGCTGCTGATCCGCTGGGGGTGAACTTGCACGCGTTCACCACCTTACTCCAGCGGTTTGGGGACTAGGGTCAGGGGGTTCTGGTTTGGGTGTCAAGCGGTTTAGGTTCCAGGGATTAGAACTTTTGTCGTAGCACGCCTCTCTTCCAACCTGCCTTTTTAGGATTAGGGTTTGTGAATATGTATATGCGTATATATATATATGTATGTACGTGTATGGGGACTACTGTAGGGATCCATGTTGCCTTTCCGATATCTTAGGTGGCCGGTATCTGTGGCTCTTGTTTAACAATTTGGTTTCTTTCAGAGCTTGTATTAAGGCCAAATTATACTAGTTTTGTTCTGCAAATTAAGGGTAGGTCGGGTCGAGTCGGGTCGAATTGACGACGTTAATTTCGCTAAATTCGGGGGTCGCGTCGGGTCGTTAAATCTGCTTAATTTCAAACTAGATTTTGCCACTGGGATTGTGGGCGACCTGCCTAGCTGTGCCAAAACGAACCTATTTCAAGTTTGTTTTCTTGAAATCCCCCCTTCCGAAGCCTCGCAGGGCCTCTCCCAGGGCCCAACCTCGTACAGCCTCTTCTTGTGATGCCCTTCCCAAGGCCTCCCAAGGCCTTGCAGGGAGGCCTCCCAAGCCTCCCAAGCCTTGCAGGCTGCTCAGGGGAGCTGTGGTATCTAAACTGTCCCAAGGCAAGATGAAGAATC